CAATCAAGTGAGTAAACAATCTCTTCAGCCAGAAAAAAAGGTGATTTTCACGTATAAATCTTATAGTATTAAAACTTTTTATTTTCAAAAACTCGTGTATTATCAAACTTTTTCCACCATAATTTTTTTAAAAGTTCGATTCTATTACCAGGATATTAAAAGTTTTCAAGTAAACCCTAATCCAGTAAACCCATTAAAATTGAATAAAATTAAATATCTCCCTCAATACTAATTAATTAAAATTTTCAATTTGCTCCCGACTTTTTAATTGAATATGATAAGATACCCTCGGGCCTTCTCATCAAAAAATTTTATATATATATATATCTCCTCAAATGCCTATTACTTGGAAATTAATTTAAAGCATTTGATACATTAAAGATAAAATTAAAATCTAAAAGGAGACCATACAAAAAAAATAATAAATAAATAAATAAATAAAACAGCGTGGAAATGAGTAGTGGGTGCCAGACAGATATTTTGGGAGTGTACTTGTGACACGTCAGCAAGCAACTGAGTTCCAAAAAAAGGTCGTCAATCATAGAGCATGAGAATGTATTATTAACTAAAAATCATAGCTGTATTAAAGAATATAATAACCTTATTAATCGATTTCAGAATAAATAAATAATAATAATAAACTTTATTAGCCATGATGTTGCAGCTGCCCACTGGATTACAATTAACTATTCTCTCTGATTCGGATTTGAGTTTGCTCTGTTTTAGGATCTCTACAAAGGATAAGACCAAATCGATATATATTAAAAGATTATAGTCGTGTAAAATTTATGTTAGAATTTTGTAAAATATTGACTAAAACTAGTCTCTTCCTTTTTAAAATACAAAATTAAAATTGACATTTCAAAATTTTGAGATTAAAATAAACCAGATTTAAAACTAAAAGGTAAATGAATAAAAATTAACAAAACTAGAAACAAAAAGATGAAACTCAAAATAGTATTTAAGTCCAGATTAATCAATTGGATTATGAAATAAAATTTACTCAATTGATTTGATTGATTGAATGTAAATTTAAATTTTAAAGTTATTTATAATTTTATTTTAATATTATTTATTTTTTAGTACGTGGTGGATATTCAAATTCACGACCTTCTAATAGGACATAGGTACCTTAACCGTTGATTTATTTTTTTCCCAAAAGGTATTTAATATTTAATATTCATTTTTATTCTGTCCCTATAAAACTTAAACTTAATCGTTAAAAAACATCAAATTCATCAATTTCACCTCTAATATTTTGTAATTATAAATTCTCCCTTAACTTTTTAATTTTCGCAAGTAATTTAAACCACAATCGTTGTTTTTTTCTTTTGACATAATCGTTAAGTTGGGGTTCTTTTATAATAAGTCTAAATAATGGAAATATAATCTCAAAATAGTAAGTATTGCCATACTATCTTAGTTATTTTTTTAATATAATTTTAGTCATTTTTGCGTAACGTGTTAGATTTGCAAACAAATAATGTTTTTTTGCTTCACGGCACGAACGTTGTCCAATAAAAACATTATATTCTCGATATTATATCTCAAAAAAAAAAAGAGGGATTAATATTCTCTATATAAAAAAAGCAATGATATAATATAAATATAATAAAACATTTTTATTTTAAAGGACTGAGTGATGAATAATTACTCATCTTAAAAAAAACATATCAATATTTACTCGAGGATTATTTCCTAATTAACAGTATTAAAGATGTGCACCTATCTCTATCTATCGTTCAAATTTTTTTAATAGATAGTACAATATTAAATCCTGAATATTTCATATATGTTTAGTTGTTTTTAGATCCATATGAGTTTAATCGTTATTTATTGAAAATAATATTTGACTATTATTGATTTTTTAAATAATTTTACTCATTATATAAAAAGTTGTCTAATAGACAATTTGTGGATGGATGGAATGATTATAGATTTTTAAAAAAGAGAAATAAAAAATTATTGCAAATTTTAAGATGTTCTAAAACACTCAAATAATAGAGTTTTTTTTAATTATAGATTAAATAATAGAGTTTTGAATGATCAACGAGTTGAAATATATATATATATATATATATATATATATATATATATAAAAGATCATAATCTTTTGTAAAACAAATAAATAAATAAACAATATTGATTAAAAATCTATACCTTCCTAATATTTGTGATGGTGATGGGTCCCATGTTTAATTTTAAACTAATAATTATTGTAATTCACAAAAATTTCCCATTACACATTTTAAATTCAACTGTAAAATGGTTTTATAATAAATTATGATTTTACAAAAAACTTTATTATCATCCGTAATGTTTAAATTAAACACAGTTTTAAGCTACTCAACAGTAATTGATGTATATATCTTTAAAGTTTTGAGTTTGAGTATAACGATCTTATAATTCGAGTTGAGAGTTTGATTGTAAGAATATTTCGAGTTCAGACGTGATTGATTTATTTTTTAATACTTAAAAGTTCAATGATTTTATAAGTTTAGAGGAGGAATTGATAAATTAAGAGTTTGAGAATGCGATTGTAACTATTTCTATAGTTAAGTAGTAATTTTTGCAAATTTTTCATATATTATCATTATTATTGTTATAATAGTTTGGATAATATAGAATTTGTTTAGTGAGTTTTATTAAAATTCCACAACGCGTGTGAGAGGAATATGTTAATAACCATTTGTATATTATAAATTCCACCCATTAATTACATGAATCAAGAATAATTTATCAAGGAAAAATAATTAGTGGGGAATACTTGATGTTGTTTTATTTATTTATTAATTAAAATAAATCTCAGACTTTAATAATTACTCAGTTCGAAATACGGAAAGTCCAAATGAGGTGAATTACGAGGAAATGATAAAATTGACTAATGCCTAATCAAATTAAATAATCTACTAGAGACTAGAGAGTATACTATTTTTTAATTTTTTTGAAATTAAGAGTATATAATTTTTAGTTTGGATCTTTAATAAGATTGAATAAGTAAATTAATAAGCATTTAAGCCATGTTAGTTTTTCTGAACTAGTTTGGTATTGGCAATTTGGCATACCATTTAACATAATTAAAGTTTATCATGTTTATCTTATAATTAGAAGATTTGGTAGTAAGAAACCTTGGTGATGAGGTGTGATTTTTTCATCAAAAAAAGAGAAAAAAAAAAGAGGAAAAGATGAGGTGTGATTTGTGTAATTTTCAATATTTATAGGTTTAATTCAACAACGATTTTATAAGTTTAGGGTATGATCAAGTAAATTGAAAATTTTAAGTGTGATTCTAGCGATTCAAATAATTGATAGATGGTCTTTTTTTTGTTTGTTTTTTTTTTTTGCAAAATTTTCTTGTTACTATTATTATTTTCAAATTCTATTTTTCGCATGTAATTTTAGTTTTGATTCATTTTAGTTACTCCCAAAACATTAATTTTGGTTATGTAATTTTAGTTTTTGTCCATTTTAGTTCTTACTATTTTGAAAAGTCTGTTGTGGCCTCTTTCTCTATTGTTAGAAATCAACTATTTTTTTGTCTATTTGTTTTCAATTTTCATTTTTTTATCACAATTTTAACACGATATTTCACTCAATAAAATTATTGAAATACATCAATAAATTTGTATTAAAAGTGTTTTTATTTTATGTATAAAATTGTATTTAAGTATAAACCAATACATACGTTTCCAATACAGAGACAAATATAAATATTTTAAAACAAGAAGAACCAAAAAGATTTGTTTGAGAGCTTGTTTCTCATTTTTTTTCAATTTTGTTAGGAAGCTTACGTATTTTGATAACTATTTATATTTATTGTTTAGAAACATTCTCGAAGCTGTATACAATTTTTAGAAACAATAAGAATCCGTTTGATAACATTTCCTGTTTCTCCTTTATAATTTTCTTAAGAATTCTAAGCATTTTACCACTGACTTTGTTTTTTGTTTTTTTTTTTTTTTTTGGAACATTCCCACAATTGTATAAAAATTTTAAAAACAACCAAAACGAGTTTCCTCATTGTTGTTTCTATTTCTAATTTGTTCCAAAATATAAATGAAAATATTGTTTTATCACATTTAAATTCTTGGAGGTTGAAACCATACATTATATTTGTATTCATTAAAAATAAAAAGGCAAAACATAAAATAAAATTATTATTTTATCATTATTGAATTGAATTGATGAGTGTTGGAGTGACACAATTTTGTTTGTTATTAAAAATTAAGAAATAGAAACAACAAATAAAAACGATACTTAAAATACCCAAAATAAATCAAATCCTAAGTAACAAACCAAAACCAAAATAGTATTTATGTTTTAAAAAGAATAAAAAGAAAACCAAATATTATTTTGAACTTTATTATTAACATCCATAAAACGCAAAATTTAACCTCGAAAGTCATAATCTTAAAAGGGAAATAATAACAGTGCAGCAACAATTTGACAGCTCAGAAAAATAGGTAACCCGTGGCTCCTGAAATTACCGTACACAATGCTTCATGATCTAGAAAAATCTAAAATATAATGATATAATTAAAAAGGGGAAAAAAAAAACCCTCGAGGTTGGCCACACTACAATAATTACATGAAAATGTAGGGTCCAGGGTGCGATAAGGCAGAAATGATGTCCTTATAATGCAAATAAAAAAAAGGGGGAAAATAGCCTTATCATGGTAAAAGCGAAATTACCGAACGCCCCCTATGACGTCGTTTTGTCTATTAGCAAAAGCAGAGGCCCCTATCAGCTATCACTTCGCTTCCCTTCCAATTCGCACCACTTATCTTATTGGGTTGCCCCTATCAATCCTTTTATCAATTTCAAAAAACCTTTTTTAAAACGCATTTTCATAATTATTGGTAAATTTAAAAATTTTAAAAATTATAAATCCTTTTCCTTTTTGATTTCTGTTTTTTAATTTTCCAATTTGCTTTCGGAGGGGAGAGCGCACGTGGTGTCCGCCTGTCACGGGCGCCTATATATATATCGCCTTTCATCCCTCCCTTCCACTCCAGTAACAGTTTTCTTCCCCTTTTTCCCTCTTCGATACGGTTTCTCCAGATCAGATTTGTCCCCCTTTCGATTTCGTGAAGAAGCCCTAGATTGGGGAGCGGGCATCGGCTTCTCTCGGTTTGATTTTCTCTCATTCCTTTAGATTGTTTATTGTGGTCTAGATTGGGAGAAGGGGAAGAATCAGAGAGGCGGAGAGAGTGTGATCCATCGGGGTGGACGAGAAACAGAGGAGGCAGGGCGCCTGAGATCTTTGCTGTATGTCAGTGGATTGTGTTGAGACTTACTGTTGTAGAATTGGCGAGCTTAAGAATCCATTGCAATGGCCCCAGCTACGAAAAAAGCGACGTTTTCAAGTGATCTTTGCTGCCATGCGGGTGGTGCCGGTTCTACTTCCGTTCCTCGAGAGGCCGCCCCTGTTGTTGCTTCCGCCAATGCCGTCCAAGATTGGAGTCTGTCCTCCAACGATCGCCGTACTAAGAAAGTTGCCATGCCGTCGTTGATTCGTCCCGTCGATGCGATTCCTGAACCTTCCACAAATGCTTCTACCAAAGGCACTTTCCCTTTCCTTCTCTCTCTCTGTTTTTTTTTTTTGTTTGCCCTCCCTCCCCTTTCACGCTTATCTTATTAATATCAATGACCTGGAATCTTGACATAAAGCTGTGCTTGATATTGACGTAATACGACTGTGATTTATCATATTGTTTTTTCCTGGGGGCCGAAATTCAGATTTCTGACATGTATTTGTCGTTTTAAGTTTCGTAACATACATTGATTTACTGTGAGTCTATGATTTATCTGTCGGTTTATGGATCGTTTGGTTTGTATGTTATTATTAGGTCACTTGGGAAAGAGGGAGAGAGAAAGAGAGAGTGGAATTTTGCATTATCCGTTTCTCCGACTTGGGGGCAATAGTTACCACTCACTTACTACCTCATCATACATCGTTTAAAATGTTTTGATCTTTACCACCACCAATGGGCCCTTGCCCTTCAACTACTTTTCACTTGTTGTTTTAAATGCACGAGCTTTTTGAAAGTCAATTATGCAGGCGGCTTTTGGAAGTAAGAATTGAGCTAGGGAAGATAAAGTTGGATTGGTTGAACCTGACAATTTAGTAGTCTTTTGTTTATTCTTTTATTTTTCCATCCCTCCAACCATATTGTATTCTAGAAGCTACTGTTTATTTTCGCCACTTCCTTGTGCTCCTACTTTTTTTTTTCCCACATTCTTCTCCAGTTCATCCTACTATCGATAAATTACAACACAACCTACCAGATTCTTTTTATTTGCTCCATTTGATAGGACGGAGTTGATTTCACTCATACTTGCTCTCTATATTTTCTTTTCTGTCGCTTTATTATATAATCTTTATGCTCCTCTTTCATCATTGATACTGATCTAAACTAAAGGTATAGTAGATGATTGATGTTAGTATTTTTCATAAATTTAGTCATGATTTCTTTTGTTGACCTTTTTTTGTTTTTTTGTAACAAAGGATGATACAAGCGTTTCTTCTAGATGATTTCTCATGCATTGCTATTTAATTGTTTGAACAGGTGTTCCCCCAATGTTGAGGGCACAATCAAGACATCCTCTGGATCCGCTATCAGCTGCTGAAATCTCTGTTGCTGTGGCCACTGTCAGGGCAGCTGGAGCCACGCCTGAGGTTGTTACTGCTACTATGCTAACACTTCTTTAAGTTATTGAATTTGGATGATTGGTTCAGGAATATGTATGGTACTACATGTTCGTGATTTTTTATGAGCTATTTTCATTATTGTAGGTCAGAGATAGCATGCGTTTTATTGAAGTGGTGTTACTGGAACCAGAAAAACATGTTGTTGCATTGGCAGATGCATATTTTTTCCCACCATTCCAACCATCTTTGCTTCCCAAGACTAAGGGAGGACCCTTTATTCCCACAAAGCTCCCTCCAAGAAGGGCAAGGATTGTTGTTTACAATAAGAAGTCAAACGAGACAAGCATATGGATTGTTGAGCTGTCGGAGGTTCATGCAGTAACACGTGGTGGACATCACAGGGGAAAAGTTATATCTTCTACAGTTGTTCCTGAGGTTCAGCCTCCCATGGTATGTTCTTGCCTCTGTTATTCCTTGTACTATTTTCTCTTTGGGATTCTATGGCCTGTATAGATTCTTGCTTCTATTTTCTATTCTCTTTGACGCTTTTTTATTGAATTTTTTATAATAAGGGATCAGATTAGTACTGTAGTATCTTATTATTATTCCAACCAACTTTTTCTGGTCTCTTAAATTGAACGAAAAATACCTGTAGGGCTCTGTTTGTGGTGAAAAAGCGTAAGGATTAGGAAACGATGAATAACTTTTCAAATACAAATAATATTGACTGAGTAACTTTTCAATTACAAATGATACTGAATTTCTTGAACTTTAAACTAACTTGCTCATTCCATCATATCTTAGGATGCTGAAGAATATGCAGAATGTGAGGCTATTGTTAAAGAATATCCTCCATTCATAGAGGCTATGAAGAAGAGGGGTATTGAAGATATGGATTTGGTTATGGTTGATCCTTGGTAAGTTATATCTATGGTGTTCATAATTTGTATGCGCTACAGTTCATCAAGTTCCTTAACTTTTTTTTTTCTGCCTAGTATAATTAGTCTCTCTTTGCTGCAGGTGTGTTGGATATCACAGTGATGTAGATGCTCCTGGTCGAAGACTTGCTAAACCTCTTATATTCTGTAGAACTGAAAGTGACTGTCCAATGGAAAATGGTTATGCTCGCCCAGTTGAGGGCATACATGTCCTTGTCGATATGCAAAACATGGTGGTTATAGAATTTGAAGACCGCAAACTTGTTCCACTACCTCCTGCTGACCCATTGAGAAACTACACTTCAGGTGAAACAAGGGGTGGTGTTGATCGTAGTGATGTGAAACCCATACAAATAGTTCAGCCTGAAGGCCCGAGCTTTCGTGTCAATGGCTACTATGTTGAATGGCAAAAGGTTGTGGTCATAATTTTTTTAAAAGAATTTAGAATTCAATTTTGCTCGGTTCATAATTTGACTAAAATTTCTTTGGTCTTTTCTTTCCTATTGACAGTGGAATTTTCGCATTGGCTTCACTCCCAGGGAGGGTTTGGTTATATACTCTGTAGCTTATGTTGATGGCAGTAGAGGACGAAGGCCAGTGGCACATCGATTAAGTTTTGTGGAAATGGTCGTACCCTATGGAGATCCAAATGATCCACATTATAGAAAGAATGCTTTTGATGCAGGAGAGGATGGACTTGGGAAGAATGCACATTCTCTGAAGAAGGTTTGATTGTTTTGCTCACTAGTCATATCATATGATCATTAGCATTTGTAGTTATCTCCCTGATCGAATCCTAATTAACTGTTAATAAATCATTGTCACAGGGATGTGATTGTCTGGGTTACATAAAGTATTTTGATGCTCACTTTACAAATTTCACGGGTGGCGTTGAAACAATTGAAAATTGTGTTTGCATGCACGAGGAGGATCATGGAATTCTGTGGAAGCATCAAGACTGGAGGACTGGGTTGGCAGAAGTTAGAAGATCTAGGCGTCTGACAGTGTCCTTTATTTGTACTGTGGCTAATTATGAGTATGGATTCTTCTGGCACTTCTATCAGGCAAGTCAAAGATACCTTTCTCTTTTGGACTGGTTCTCTGGTTGAATTTCACTTTGCCCTTATGGGAGTTGGTTGGTCTGTTTTTTAGTGTGTGTGTGGACAGATAACAAAATTCTACAAGAAAAAAAATTCCAGGTGATGAGGTGTCAAAACTGGGAGGATCAAATTCAAAGTTAATTAACAGAATTTCCTCCCAGTAGCATAAACAATAAAAATCATAATCACAACAGAGGGAGAGAGAATGATTCCATAAATGGAAAATGTCGCACACTTTCTCTCTTGAAGTATTCGTTTGAAGTCTAGGATTTCATTCTTTAATAGAACTCTTGTAGAGGATGACATCGGTTATATGTTTGAAAAGATTGCCTATGATGTGATGCTCATGACCATTGAAATACAGAATCGGGAAACACCCCACAATTTAACCTTCTTGGGGCATGAAACTTGCCTGATAGCTTTTAGAATGTACTAAATTGTTTCTAGTAGAATTATATGCATAGGGATTATGTTCTTTGTGATTCCAGATGCTACGCAATAATATATTGTACACAGTTTCTACTTCTAATCGCTTGATTTTCTCTCAACCAACTTACGTTTCTTAATTCTTTCCAATAGTGGAGGTTTGTTGATATGAAGTGTTGTTGCAGGATGGAAAAATTGAAGCTGAAGTCAAATTGACTGGAATTCTCAGCCTAGGAGCGTTGCAGCCTGGTGAATATAGAAAGTATGGCACAATGATTGCACCGGGTTTATATGCACCAGTGCATCAACATTTTTTTGTTGCTCGTATGGACATGGCTGTTGATTGCAAGCCTGGTGAGGCTTTCAACCAGGTGCGTCTTTAATGTTTTGGTAATATTTTGTATTGTTGTCAGGATATTAATTTTGATTGGCAATTGGCATGAGTTAAAACCATACTGTGAACAGTGGAAGTTACTGACTGTAACCCTGTATCTTTTTCTACCATGGTTTCCAAAATTATCAAACAATTATATTGATACGCTCAATGGTAAAAAGGCATCAATGGCTTATGGATCCAGTCGTTCAAGTCAGCGTCTTATTAGTTTTATATCAAATAATGAAGGATGAAATGTTAACTTTCTGTTTAGAAAAATGAGTTACATCATGTAATTTTTCAATTGTACTTACAACACAAGCATTCTTAGCTTGGAGTTTGCTTCTAAAGACATGCTTATACATAGCTGATTTCACTACATTGGTCATTAATCTTCTTCAATTAAGATTTGCCCACTTAACATGCTCGTAGGTTGTTGAGGTGAATTTGAAAGTTGAAGGACCTGGGGAGAACAATGTTCACAACAATGCTTTCTACGCTGAAGAGACATTGCTAAAGTCTGAACTGCAAGCCATGCGTGATTGTAGTCCTTTGACTGCTCGCCATTGGATTGTAAGTAACATTCTTTAGCTGGCTCAATGCTTGTCGTTCCTACTTCTAGGCTGTTTGATCTCGATTTCATGACAATTTATACTTTTGGAAACCAGGCATAGGCAACAATTTCTTTCCAATTTTACATATTATTCTTTCACTTTCTTAGCTTTACAGTTAATGATGAAAAAATGCATCTTCTAAACGGTTGAAGACACCTTTGGGTTTATTGAACATTTTCTAAAAAAAGTAGTTATATGAAACTCTAGATTTTGTACTTGCCAAATAAATAAACATAGTTAGATATTATTAATTTATTTTATTTTAAGATTTTAATATTTTCCAAAGCAACTTCACCATAATAATTATTATTTTGTTGCAAGAAATGTATTTTGGGTTTCTTTTTGTTTCTTTATATGCAAGTGTTGGATAATTCTTGCATGTTACTATTGATATATTTTCCAAGGATACTTTGAGTTTGTCATATATAATTTATTCAAAGATGATTTACAATATTTCTTTCTTATCGTTGTGATTGAGTAAATGTTAACGATCAAAATTGGTTCCATGGTTCCAGGTGCGTAATACTAGAGCTGTTAATCGAACTGGACAGTTAACAGGGTTCAAGCTATTACCTGGTTCAAATTGTTTGCCTTTAGCTGGTTCAGAGGCCAAGTTTCTTAGAAGAGCTTCTTTCTTGAAGCATAATCTTTGGGTGACTCAATATTCACGTGATGAAATGTTTCCTGGAGGGGAATTCCCTAATCAGAATCCACGTGTCGGTGAAGGATTGTCTACATGGGTCAAGCAGGATCGACCTTTAGAGGAAACTGATATAGTCCTTTGGTTCGTTTCCTTTCTTCTTCTGTTTGTACATTTGATTTATTTGCTCGCCTACTCATTTAGAATATTCTGTGCAAGTTTTTCCACGTTCCCCATCCTTGTTTTGGCATTCATCCCTTTATATTTAGCACATTTATTTTCACCTGCAAGGTATTATTGTATTATGTCATATGATGTTATCAGAAATCACTACTCTGTTGTAGAAGTAGAACAGAGAAGTTGTCTCCTGATTTGGTTGGGGGCTCAATTCTCTGTGGGAATTTCAAAACTGTTTGTTTACTTTGTCAATTTTTTTTTTAGCCTGAACTTTAAAAGAATCGTGTTGTTTTTTTGGAGATATAGGTTGTATGATGCCTACTGATTTAACTCTGCTTTTTGATAGTAACCAGAACATCTTTTTCCTATGTGACAGGTATGTATTTGGCATCACGCATGTTCCTCGGTTGGAAGACTGGCCTGTTATGCCGGTGGATCGCATCGGCTTTACCCTCATGGTAGTACTTACTCACTCACTAGTATAATCCCTTGATTTATGAGACTCTAGGACTTTATGATTCCTTTTAAACATCCTCTCTCTCTCTCGGTTGTTACTGATCTTCTCTCTTGTAATGTGTGTGTATGCAGCCTCATGGGTTCTTCAACTGTTCTCCTGCTGTTGATGTCCCCCCCAGTGCTTGTGAATTAGATTCAAAAGATTCCGATGCTAAAGAAAATGTGGTGTCTAAACCAATTCAGACCCCGATTATATCGAAGCTTTGAAGTATGCTACATCGCTTTACAGACTTCAAATTTATGTTTGCTTTTCGTCTCTTAGTCAAGTGGATTGTATTCCCTTGTTTATAAACCCCGAACTCGTTTTTCTTTTCAGTAGTACGATTTTCTAGTTTGCTACACGCTTTGAATGTTACAATGTGCATATTTATGATTTTCACAATAAATCGTATCTACACAGTTCTTTTTCTTTGTTTCTTTTTTAATTAAATATGTTGACTAGCCTTTTTCTTCCGCTGTTGTGGATTCTTTACATCCTTTTCTTTGCGTAGAAAAATGGTAAGCAGTGACGTTGGAAAACTTTGTGTTCTTTTATGGCGGCAGGCAAAACATTCGTCTGCTTATTTTCTCTGCTTCCATAAAACCATACAAGGAATATCCTTGACAGATTGGTATGAAGATTTTCTTGAGTAAATTAAATGGACAGCCTCTCTGTAAAATGCTTTTCTTTGATCTCCATGATTGTTCAAACAAAGTCACCCCTTTGCTTTCCAACTAAAGTCAATCCTCATCACAGAACGCTGCAGCCAACTTTTCTACAACTTTGCAATTTACTTTTCATTCGAGTAGTGAATTTGAACAATCCACACCATCATTATATTCATCGCGTAATCAGTGGCTCCTTGATTAGAGCAATTTGTTTGATGGACCATTGATTTGAAAGTCCCAAGTCCTTGAGAGGCTTTGTTATGAATCTTAAATTTGTAGGAAAATTCATTGAAATCTCGATTATGTAGAGCTTAAAACTTGGCAGAAAAAGCCAAGGGGTTTCTAAAAGTTAAGGACAGCATCACTGTTTTAGTCACTGTCAAAGCAGAGCGCACCCTCTTTTATTGGCTTTCCTTACTGAGTGAATTGTTGTCGGCACAGTTAATTTATTTCCAAAAACTTTGCATTGTGGTGAAGGATGGATGAATTTGACCAAAATGGCACAGACTGAGAGGCTTTTTGTTTACACTTTTGGCAGTCTCTCTTCCACTTTTTCATCATGGAAGGAAGGGGCCTCTGAACCTCATCCCGTTACTGCCTTCAACAATTATTCGTAAAATGGAATTAGCAGAGAAAGGAAAGAGCAGAGGAATGATACATGATTCCCATACATAATAATCATTTTTTGCTTGTAATTTTATATTTCAGTTGACCTTAAAAAAAAGAAAAAAAAAACATCAATCATTCATGTGACGTAGAAAAAGTTGTCTTTTTTTTTTCTTTGAAAGAGGGGTCGGTTTGATTTGATTGGTTATTATTGAAAAGAACAATTAGCAGTTCCATCTTGTCCAACCCAAATTGTACCTGTGTTTGCACTTTTTGAGCTGGTTTTTTCTTCTTTCTTCTCATCCTATTTTTCCTTCTTCATTCAACGAACCACCACCCATCATAATTCTCCAGCCTTTGGACATTAATTAGACATGGCAGTTTCTGTAAAACATCAAGATTATGAGTAGAATTAGTTATCTCTTATCTAATTAAAGGGGTGTTGAATGAGGAGTATTACGGAGTTTTTAGCTAATCATTTGGACTAAAATATAGAAAATTCTTTAACAACATTCACAAGATAAGCCATACCCAATAATGATGCAACAAAGTCATGTCGAAATTTGGTGAAGAAAATGATAGTGTTCATCAGAGTGAATGAATTATTGCTGGGTGTAATAAATGGGTATTGTTATGAATTCAAGCAGAAGTTTTTAATAACTGTGGTCCTCAGAGGTGACAACTCCACTCCTTCCTTACCATCCTTAACTCACAAGTACTAAACAAGGATGTGAGTAGACCTTTCGATTGAAGTTGTTCCTAAGATGGGTCGAGCTAAAAAAATTGCACCTATACAATAGATCCGCATGAAGTTCGTTATTAGGTCTCTTCTCTTATTTACCTAAGGAGTCTCTCCAACTTGATTTGGGGAACTAACTCAATCGAGTTTAGTTGGGTCTGGTCTAATTAGGTGGTCTTATCTGATTTGGTACCTGGAAAAATTGACATTTTGGAAGTGAGAGTTTAGAAACGATGGAAAAAGGAAGAAAAACAGAACTATAATGGGGATTTTGAACTCAAAATCAACCTCTGTGAAGAGCTTTGTAGTTTAGCTTTGGATTTCAACCTTCATAACTCCAACTGAAAGTCTGAAGCTTTGGTTTGAAACTGGCTCAGAGACACATAAAACGCAGTCAGGAAACAGTCAGGAAAAGTTGAGTTTTCTGGTCCTCTCACTGCCATGGAATTTCTGGTTTTTCCTGCAGGCTTTGAACAAACTTTCACCTTGATTCTCTCTCTTACTTTTACTAAGTAGCTGTCTGCAGTGTACCCAGAAATCAAATTGAAACGTACAGCAGAATCTCTCTCTCTCTCTCTCTCCAATAATGGATTATTGTAGAAGCCAATCATACTCAGTATTAGACTTTTGGTGGGGGCTCAGAATTCATGGCCATGGAGGTTCCAGAACGTGTATTTTTTCTAAAATAAAAAACGTTTATAACCCATTATCTCTTATATTATAGCCCTGGATAAGGTCATATCTTTCTTTGCCAGCGATTCATATATTTCAAGATATGAGAAACTAAGCCAAACCCACCAAATGATTCTGTTTTTCCATTTGATGGGTTATGAAATGATCATCAGTTATTCAATTATGATGATTTTTGGACTAATTTCATATATTACAACAATAGAAAAGGGGGAAAAATCAGGATCACAAGAACTATATATTTTAGTTTGCACTCAATCACATCATTTCACTGTTCCCATAACGATTACAGAAAAAGAGTGAAATGACACATTGAACATCAACAACAAAAAAGTAGTGGCTGTGTATTTTGAAATCTGGATGGAGAAGACAAGTGATAAAAGCAAATACCTTCATTTCAAGCCTGTCTATGAAACCCTCTTTCACTATCAACAATCTGGGTGTTAATTTCTTCAAAGTGAAAAAAAAAAAAAGAAAACTGAAAATAAGAACAGAAGCCAAAGAAATTTGCTTTTTTCCCCCTCTTTTTTTGGGATAAAAATAACCACAAGGAGGAAGAATTTACTAATTTACAGTTCATATGTGATGGAAGACGCCAAAACTTCCTCCTGTTACATTTTCTGACATTGACATTAACGGATAGCTCCCAAAACTTGCTGAGTTATTTTGAGTTTGAATAATCTTGGTTTCTTCCCCTGAACTTCCCTTGAATTCCAAGTTTTTCACTTCATTTGTCTGAAACTGAAACAAATTCTCGAGTTTATTCTCACCTTCCCATGAAAATCCTCCATTATTTTCCCCTGGATTGTTCACATGGTACCCAGAATAATTACTCACCACCGAACTATTGCTGGAGCTCTCCTTCACCTCGTTAATGAAGAAGGAGCTCAACCCAGAAGCTGAGTTTTCAGAAAAATCTGTTCTTGACATGTTCCCATGTTCAGAACTTGAATAACTCGGCAACCCAAAACTTGAATTTGAGTAGAAATAGTTGTGGTCGCATGATCTGGTAGTATTGGGCTGGTATTGAGTTGCTGCAAATTGGGAATTATTGTACTCACCACCCATGTAGGAGACAGAGTCAAATTCAATCTTGTTAACAAAATGCTGCGCTGAATCCTCTGTTTGCTTGTAATAATGATTCGAATCAGTAAGAAATGAAGCTTCTGAAGAAATGGTGATATTGGAAATATCCCCCTGGAGATGATGAGCCACTTTCACTCGTTGCTTCTCTGTATAGCTCTTCTTATGGTCATTCATGGCTTCCATATTCTCCTCCAATGGCTTGTGGGTTGCTGGGTCGATTCCTTGCTTCATCAGCTTCTTCTTTAAAGACGAATTCCAAAAGTTTTTAATCTCATTGTCTGTTCTTCCTGGTAATTGGGCTGCAATTTGAGCCCACCTGCCAAAAAAAAAAGGTTCAAAAACAGAGGAAAAAACAGAGTCCCATCTTCCCCATTTTAGTATCTGAATTCAAATTTCACCTGTTGCCCAGAACTTGATGAAGACTGATGATGAGATCCTCCTCTTGCTGCGAGAACATCCCTCTCTTCAAATCAGGCCTCAAGTAATTTATCCATCTCAACCTGCAACTTTTCCCACACCTCTCCAACCCTGCAACAATCAATCAAACAGTAAGAAGAAGGRAAAAAAAAGGACCAAGACCCAAAAATTCTCCATCATTTCAACTCTTTTTGAGAAAACTTTAAAAGGGTTGACGAGGAGGAGGAGGACGACGACGAAGAAGAAGAAGAAGAAAGGTACCGGCGAGCTTCGGAACGGAGCTCCAGCAGCCGACGCCGAAAGTTGTAATGTAATTGAAGAGCTTCTCATCTTCCTCAGGGGACCAGAGGCCTTTGCGGAGTTTAGGCTTCAAGCAACAAGAATTGCGTCCCATCAAAACCAAAACAAAAGAACAGAACACAAAGAAAATGGTAGGCGCAGGCAGAAGCAGAGGAGGGGCAATTGCAAGTAGTGGCAGTGGCAGTGGCAGTGGCAGTGTGTTTAATTGGTTAAGTTAAGGCTTAAGACAGCCACAGGGGATGGAAATTGAATTGGAATTTTATGTATTTCTTTGGTTTCTCTTATATGTTTTTGGAAACAGGGAGTTCCCCAAATCACTCAACAGTAATCTTCATCATCTAACGTTAAAAAATCATACTTAGAATTTAAGTTAGAGAGAGAGAGAGAGAGAGAAACAGAGAGAAAAAGGAAGAAAAGGCAATCAAGTGGGCTTTACGCAAATCCTCCACACTTGGTTTGGTTTCTAAGATACCTTTTTCATCTTCATGTTTTTGCCTTAACTAATTAATTTATTAAACCCTTCATTCTTCTCCAATTACACCAACTCTTAATCTTTCTTAATCCCTTCCACGCAGCTCAAATGATTAGATATTAGTGTTGGATTACTGGGAGAGACGTCACTTTTTCATTAATAATTGACGCGCGAAGTAGAATTTTAGTTCATTTATGTYGTAGAATTTAAAATGGAAAGAAAAAAAAATTAGAAACTTAATTAGGTGGTTAAGTTTTAGGTTAGATTATTATATATGACGCCCTTGCCTATAAATTTGATTTCAATTGTACCCTTGTTACTTTAAATATGCTTGGTCGTTTTAATCATGAACCTTTTAGGCTATCTATTCAAACACACAGTTAACTTTTGACCTAAAGCTAAGTTTTAGCTTATGTGTTTAGAATTCGAGAAAAAAGAATGAAAAATAGTACAAGGGAGCATTATTTTGTTTGTTTTTCCAATACTAAAAATTAAGGTCTCTCTCACAACTAATAAACAAACATTAGAGCTGAGACTCTTGAAGAATTAGAATTAGGGTTTGATAATAACAATTTAATCGAATACAATTATAATATCGTAGACAAATGTCAATCTTACAACTAATATTACAGTTTAAGGACATTTTATGTAATTTAGCCCAATTGTATTGAATAACTGATATTAATAAGCTATATTTTATTTGTTAATAGAAATCAAATACATAAAAGGAAGAAGCCGCTTTCTCTAGGTGGTTGAGTAGCGTTCTTGAAAATAAATGTCTATTATTCATAAATTGGTCTATATTAATCTTTCTTGTGTTAGTTTTCAATTAATGAATATAAATTAATGAACAAGTAGTTATTACCACATGCGGTAGAAACGGATTTGGTTCTTATTTATAATAATAATACTAATAAATATTTAAAGTCTAACCACTAAAAATTTTAGAAGTGTCACACATGTTTCCTTTTCTTGAAAACATATGTATCAAATTTAAAGAAAATTAAATAGGGATGAGACTTCAAAAAATAAAATAGAACTTAAAAATCAATATGTTGTGATTAGAATAAGAAAATGTTGTTTTCTCCTCTCTCTTTCTTAATTAGTAGTTCCTATCATGACCAGCCGACATGTCGTCCAAGAGTCAAAAAAATTGAAATAGCAAAAGGGTCGTCTATGCTTGCCAGCTAATATTAGCAGTGGAAAATGGTTTCAAAACACGTTTTTTTGTTTAAATTATTTCTTTTATTTTTTTAAATAAATTTAAGTATCAATTATGGTGTGGAGCCAGCCGACACTGTTACATTAAGCAACCATCGGCCCACCCCTTCTATATTTTTCAGTTTGACTTCTAAGTTCTAACATAACATAAAAAGCTTACATACTTTAATTAATTCGATCCCAAATTTTCATTAATTTCTAGATATTATGATGCCCTCTCTCAAAAGTATTACTCCAGACATCTATCATTTTGAACGTGCGATCCCAAATTTTCATTAATTTCTAGATATTATGATGCCCTCTCTCAAAAGTATTACTCCAGACATCTATCATTTTGAACGTAACTTAATTAGTTAAGATATTATAATCACGACTAAAATATTAGAGGATAAAATCTTTATTTAAGAAAGATGTAATAAAAAATAAGAATATGATATCTATTTTCAAATATATTGGCATGAATGAGGTGTCTCGTAAAAATGTGCACAAATAAAAGTATTATTAGGATGTGTTAAATTAGGATAATTAAAGATTTCTAAGCAAATATAAAATTCATTATTTAATGAGGAATTCTTTTAACTTACCTTTGTGAAGAACATAATATGACACTAATGTGATGTAGTGATGAGATTAGAAGGAAAAGAATTAACTTTCTAATTAAAAAAAATTGATTTGCTTGATTGATGGGATAAAGGGTTTTCACTCATTAAAAAAAAAAATTGCTCCACACTAGTAAGAGAAAACTCTATTAATCATGTCTTTCACTTTCTTAGGAGGTCAAGCTGTATTTGTGAAAACAATACATGTTCCAAAAAGATTATCTTTGTCTAACTATTCAAGAGATTTTATATTAACTTCCAATAAGAACCCATGCAATACTCTCTCATCAAACTTTAAATACAATACTCTGTAATTAACAAATCGTTATGTTATGAGCTCAAATTCGACAAGATACATGAGCGAGTTTTAGAGCACCGCTAAAGTAGGAGTTCATTCGAATTCGATAAGCTAGGGAAGAAAAGTCCAGCGTATCCAAAGGTCTATGGGCAGTCTAGTTCGACTACTTTACTTGAGTAGAGTTCAACCGGCAAAATATCCACTAACATTCGACGAGAGTAAATAACTCACGTGTCAAAGTATCTTTAAAGTTAGTTAATGACTCCCTGTCCGATAGTACGACTTGAATTTCTGATAGCGTCCCTCTAAATTTGCTCCCCTATAAATGGACGAGAGTCAAACCCTTGTCAAAGGTGCGCATTAACTTCTCTCCTCTTAACTATTTTGAACTAAATTTTAGTTTAAGTTTCGGAGTGCACGGAACACCAACATTTAGAGCTGTAACTCGAAAAAAATTGTAAAAGTATTCATTTGGGGCATTGGAATCTCTATTATATATATCATTTATGATAAGGCAACCACGTGGCAAAATATACGGATAAATAGATACAAAATTTCTGTACACCTGGTGGTACAAGAAATTATCGGAGTATTCTCCACCAACAACGAAGCTTCAACTCAATGATTTGTTTTAGAATTCGGGTGATGGCCTCTCCAGCTGCCACGTGTATGAGAGAGAAAATTAATCCAGAATAATTTCCCTCTCTTCATTCACGAATCACAGCCCACCACTCGTGTACGGCCACCCCTCCAATTACTTCCCTCTACAGTTTTCTGTCGGTCTTTTCATCGGCATTGATTCCATGCTCCGCCACTCTATCTTAACCAATATTTGTATCCAATCATCTCGATTATTTTATTTGACCTTTGACTTTGACCTCACAAGTATTCCGATCCGACGGCCATAAAACATGATTCTTGAATACGAAGTTGGTCACTATCTGTTAACATATATAAGCCGGCTACTTTATCTATTTTGTTTTATTTTGACTGAATTATACAAATTTTGACCATTGTTTCAATAATACCTCCATGCCTTAAAAGGTTACATTAACGTCTTTGATTTTTTTAAAAGTTTCAAAACGAATTCAATATTGCTAAAGTTAATATAGCTCAATGGTAATTGGCGTATATTTTCAATCGAAAGATTGTAAGTTCGATCCCCACCCTCACATATTGTACAAAATAATATACTAATTAAAATGAAAGTTTTAAAATTACAAAAGAATCAGGGTGGATGAAAGTATGAGAATTAAAATGGATATTTTGAAACTCCAAAAACTAAAATAGAATTTAAACAATTTCAATTAATTATTTTACAAAAGTTTAATATCTAAACTAGACATCAATGTATGACACATCCTCTAGAATATACCATTTATTTTTAGGCATATAGAAAATATTTTAAGAGAATTTAGATCTATAAAATGAAATGCTAGCTAATATATCGATGAACAATGTGGCTAAATATTAACCAAAAATTAAAAATAGTTGTGAGATTTTTGTTTTCTTTATATAAATATGCTTATACTTTTCTCCTTCCAATAAATAAATGCATTGGTAATGGGGCCACGAAAATCTTGGATCACACGTGAAAAATAACTTGTCGGGAGGTGAAAGAAATGGAAAACATTATTTGTACGTCGGCGGAATTTAAAAGGAAATTTTCTGGTTTTTCGTTTCATACATTAAATAATATGTTATTTTATTAAACTATCTTCAACTAAAAATATATATTTTCTGTCAAAAAAAAATATTATTTCATTTTATAAACTCTGCCGTCTACCCTATTTTTAAATATTGTTTATTTGATAAATAATAAATGAGAATGATATTAGAAGAAAATTTACCGAATATAAGTGTTTTGTGCAAAAATACAATATATTCCAGCATTGATTATTTCAATAAAATTAGCATGTTCTCTAAATAATCATGTGAAAATTATTGATTCTCAAAAAGTTTTATTTTTAATTAACACCGGCAACTACGAGGCAGAGATCTTCTGTGATGTGATATTTTTCAATCTTTTAGGAAATAAATATAAATGATATAAAGGATTTTATTTTATTTGAATTCAATGAATCACTTAATATATTAAAAGTTCTGTCACTCATGAAAAGTATATAATGATTAGTCTTTTCTTTCTTTCTTTCAACATAATTTTCATGTACTAAAAAAAACATAATTTTCATTTGTAAACCTTTTTACCTTAAGCTTTAGAAAATTTAAAATATACTTATTTTAATATTATATTTGTGTCCCATTTTATTTAATTCTTTAACTTTATAATTAAAAAAAAAAGAAGATATAATCTGAACTTAAAGCATAAGTATAACCGTGAATAGTATTTCATTACATTTCAAAATAATATGAAATCATATTTTTATGATCCGACATTTATTTCAATTTTTATGGTGAAAAGCTTCCGATTATTAATTCAATAATTTATACCATAAATAGCTATTAAAAGATTGTTGATTACATTAGTCTCACGTAAGTTCACCTAAATTATAATAATAATAATTTTCAAATTCAAATAATTCAAATTATCTTGATCTTAGAGATATTTTTGTTTATGATGTGTGATTTAATTTTATATAAGAGAGGTTGTTAGCAATATGAGTGAAATATATTTATATCTATCTTGTCATATAATTGGAGTAAGCTAACTTAAAAAAGGGATTATTAACAAAGTAGTTTGAAAGCACTTTATTAATTAAGGAGTTGAATTGAATGGAATTATATAAAGATTCAATGGCCCATTTTAGGCTGTAACTAATCCCCACATTTCCCAATCAAAGTCAAAAGTTTCAATTACTTTTGCCTTCACAACCAAATACCTTCCATTTCAAATCACTGTAAAGTTTTTTATCCAAAGAAGAAAGAGAGAGAAAAAAAAAAAGAGCTTCATAACTCTCAAATTTTCTGCATAATGTTTAATCGACTTGACACCATTATCTTCCCTCACTACTTTTTCTTTTGGTCCACTCTTTATTTAATTATATATGAACCGCTAATTATCCATGAAAATGTGTTAGTAAGTCAATTTTAAGTTTAAAATTTCAATTTTATTACCCTCCGTTGGTTAAATGTTGCAAAAACTAGTAAATGAAACAGTATATTATATGTTTTAAACCATAGAATTGATCAAATATTCCTTTAACGTCCAAGCGAACATAGATCAACAGTAATTAACATATATCTCCAACTAAGCAGTCGTAAGTTCGATTCCCCACCCCCACATGTTGTACTAGAAAAAAAATTAAATACTCCTTTAACTTTCTAGATTATCAATATTTTTTCTTTAACTCTAAACTTGTGTATAGATTAATACCCTTAATTATTATTATTTTTTCTTTAAGATTTATGTTTAGTCATGGCACCATAGGCATCAACAAGACTATGGCACCATGGACATTTTTCGTAATGTGGGCCTTCTAGAGGCATACTCCTTTACCTCATGGGCCTGCTCATTGGAGGTCCATTGGACAGAGAGTCTTATTGGGTCGATGAAGCCCATTTATCCAGGGAGTTTTAGTTCTGGGCCGACTTTCTGGCTTTGGACATGTTGCAAAGGCCCATATTTGAACTGGTTCGTTCTTCACAACATTCTACTCGTACTCAAGCCCGTTGTCTTCAAATTCTCGCTGAACTCAATTGGCTTTGCCTGATGCAGGTTCTTCTCCTCAGTTCTAAGTGTTTTTCTTTTTAATCTAATTTTCCAGCGATCGTCTTTAGAAAAAGAACCTTGAATTGAATTGTGAAACCCATTTGATAGTTTATGATCCAACTTTTCATGTCCTTTTACCTCCACATCCTCACGTCAGAGCTTTCCAAGAGCTATCTAACTCTTTTACGAACAAAGGAATTGCATGCTTTGATTACCAAAACCCCTCTTGCTTGCGACGCATTTTATGCAACTAGAATTGTTTGTCTGTATTCTGTCAATGGTAGACTTGACTATGGCCGCCATGTGTTCGATAAAACTCCCCACCGAAGTGTCTACCTCTGGAACTCTATCATCCGAGCTTACGCGAAAGCCCATAAATTCGGTGATGCATTATCTCTATTCTTTAGGATGCTTAGAAGTGAGACTAAGCCCGATAACTTCACTTATTCGTGCATTATAAAGGCATGTTCTGAGAGTTTCCATAGAGAACGGCTGAAACTTGTTCATGGACGAGCTTTGGCATCTGGGTTTGGATTAGACCCTATCTGTTGCAGCGCACTAGTGGCTGCATACTCAAATCTGGACCTTATTGAAGAAGCAGGCAAGGTGTTTGATGGAATGCCTCATCCGGACTTGGTTCTGTGGAATTCAATTATTTCTGGTTTTGGGTATTGCGGGTTTTGGAATCAGGGGCTGTTGCTATTCTCTAGGATGAGGAATTCGGGAGAACGTCCTGATGGATACACGGTCGTTGGTGTAGCATCGGGTATAGCAGAACCCATCCTACTGAATATTGGCAAAGGTATACATGGATTTTGTCTCAAGTGTAATTTTGACTCTGATGAACACGTAGCTAGTGCAATAGTGAGCATGTACTCGAGATGTAGAAGCATGGATTCAGCATATTTAGTGTTTAGCAGTTTATTACAGCCTGATTTAGTAACATGGTCCGCTTTAATAACTGGCTATTCTCAATCTCGTGATTTTGGGAAGGCACTGTTTTTCTTTCAGAAACTGAATATGCAGGGTAAGAAGCCAGATTCCATTTTGATTGCCAGCATTTTGGCTGCTGCTGCTCAATCAACTAACATAAGGTCTGGTATTGAGATACATGGTTATGTTCTTCGACATGGGATTGAGTTAAACGAGATGGTATCCTCTTCTCTCATAGATATGTATTCCAAGTGTGGTTTTCTGAATTTGGGAATTCATGTTTTTCATATTTTGCCACAAAAAAGTATTTTGTCATATAATTCTGTAATATGGGGAGTCGGTCTTCATGGACTTGCATCAAAGGCATTGGAAATGTTTGAGGAGTTGCTAGATTTTGGCCTTGTGCCTAATGAATCCACTTTCTCTGCTCTCCTCTGTGCATGCTGCCATGCTGGCCTCAACTCTGTTGGCAAGGAAATTTTTAGAAGAATGAAAGATGAGTTTTACATCAAATACAGAGCAGACCATTATGTTTACATAGTAAAACTTCTTGGAATGACTGGGGAGTTAGAAGAGGCTTACAATCTTATCCTGTCCTTACCAGAATCTGTGGACTCTGGTATTTGGGGGGCTCTGTTGTCCTGCTGTGATGCTTGTGGAAACCCTGAACTGGCTGAAATTGTTGCACAACAGCTCTTAGACAATAATGAAAAAACTGCTTACAAAGTCATGCTCTCTAATATCTATGCTGGAGAGGGGAGATGGGATGATGTGAAGAAGTTAAGGGATACAATGACTGCAAACGAACGAGGAAAGTTGCCTGGGCTTAGCTGGATTTGAGAACGATGTTTGTGATCAACCTTGCAAGGGCTGGCATGTACACACGCTTGCTCATTGTGGATTACCATGTGAAAGTGATGAATAATGTAAAACATTTGCAAAAGGACTACAAGGTTCCTTGAATTTATGACTGTTTTCTCCTAGCCTCAGAGATGCCCCCACTGTTCTTTCGATACTTCAGGTGCGTCAATGTTAAGGTATGTGATAAATCATTCACGCGTTCTGCTAAATTTTCGTTGAATCTGCATCTTTGCCTAATATTTGAAGGACATGTTATGAATGAAGGGAAGAACGAAAGATTTGAATTGTGTCGAAGAACGAAAGATATGAATTGTGTCAATGTGCTAAGCTTCACCAATTATAACTAAAGATCAACCTGGGTTTAACAAACACGATGAGATTAGTAATAACTGAAACTAGGATTGGAATTGTGTGTCATTGTGCTAATAACTTTAGAATTTCAAGTGTTTTCACTTGCGCTTCAATAGGAAATTGATAGACGATCTTACTATATTTAAAATGGCAATGACTGTAGCTAATTGGCTAAGTTCAAGTTATTTAAATGTCAGCAACCACAGTGTTTGAATGAAAAGTTAAGAACTCTGTACCTTGATATAATTAAACAAAATAACTATCTTTTATCAAAAACTGATTTTATTTGTTTCTTTCTACAGTAGAGGGCCTGAAGATTCTTGGTTCTTATGTTGCTCCAGGGCTGAAAACTTCTTATGATCAATTGAGACGGAAAAAATCTTTTTGAAGAGTTGCATTTGGTGTGGTGTGGTGAGGTTAGAACTGGCATAATTAGAACCGGATATTCATGACATCGACACCTTTACCTACAAAGATCTGAATCCAGTTTCTCTAGCATACACTTAACAGTGGGTCTTATTGATTGACTTTCAGAAATTTGGTTTGTTATTTTTATATATTTAAAGGTAAAACAAACACTGTTCTCTTGTTCTTTGACAGATAATACAATGCCTCAAGAACTTCTTCTATTATGGCTAGAGCAAGACCCGATCTCAACTTAGCGGCTGGAAAAATGAAGTTCATGAAGACTTAAAGAAATTGCCTGGCTTTCCATGCTGCGGATTCTGTTGCAATTGGCTTCACGACATAGCACCCATTGTTTGAACTGCAAGAACTTAACCTGCCTGTTATAGTACCATCAGAACCAGGATAGTCCATGCCAAATCTTCTCTCCTTTTCGTGCCTCTTAGCTCTCCTCCTTAGATTATGTCTCTTCAAAATAGAGCTTAACTTTGCCTTGCCACCTTTAGCATTCACTGGCATCGGGATTGCCTCGAGACCCATCAACTTGGCCACCACTCCTGGTTTGCGCCACACGACACTCTCCCCTGCTATCGTTGATGGCAACCGTAAGGCTGTCTCCAACGTCAAGTTGAACTCATTCTCATGAATTCTCCCTTTGAGAGCATACTCACAGCAGACTGATTTCCGCCCAGCAGCGTCCAAGTTCCTAAAGGAAGATCGATACATCGCATCCTTTCCATCAAGCGAAAACCGAGGATACTGATTCAAGGCGTTCCGTGCAGATCGCAAGATATCCGAGTTGTTTACACACGACATCCTCCCTCGCATCTCATCATAGTTGTATAGTTTTGCTCTTCTCGCCGTCTCCTCCTCTAGCTCCAACTGTAAAATCATCTCCTCCAAGGTTGGCGGGTTTTTTCTGCAGCGCACGTCGGGCGAGATAGGGAAGTGATCTTGGTTGGCTTTGTGTTGGTTGAGAGTGGAGGTAGAACCATCGCCATTGCAGAAAGTTCTGATGCCCTTCCTCATCTTTGCAGCCAGAGAGTTCTTGAAAAGAAAGAAGGACAACTCCTTCATTTTGAAAGCATGAAGAAGGCGCTGAAGGATCAAAACTTTGAGGTAGGATCTGGCTTTTCATTTACTTTTTCCATTTTTCTTTGTTTTGAAGATAAATTGTGAACACCGAGTTAGTAGAAAACTGTGAATTGAATGAATGAGAGCGGTGTGGTCTATAGTTCAAATAAGAGTATATTGTTGATTAATGGCATTCACATGCCAATTTGATTAAAGAAGCTGTCTTCACAAGGAAGCTCATGTATCATTCAAAAGCCTTCTTTTGTAATATCTCATGAACTTCCACTCATTCACTCTTATTACTTAATCATTAACGAGCTCATTTTAATTAAATAAGCTAAATATATATTTCAGTCCTAATGTTTGAATTTTTTTTCTTCCTCTCTCAATTTAGTTCTTACCATAACTTCATCTTTAAGGGACAATAATACATCAAATTTATGAGCTTGTTAAATATTAGTATCCAACATTTTTTTTTTCACAATTTTCTACACCAACGAGCAATTTCAGGTTCATTAGTTACTACATAATAAGTCATGTAAATTATAAATTAGTAGACTTTTTTATTTTATGGCAAACTAACATTTATTTCCTCGCTACTTTTAATTCAATTAATAAAGTGTATTTCCATATTACATCATTCTTTTATCAATTAATTTTAACATTTGGTAACAAGGATTTAATTGGAAAAAAAAAGGTTCAATATATTAGGGATGAAATTGAAATTTTTAAAACTTCCGCACCATATTGAAAAAAGAATCAAACGTTACATACTACAACATATGTTTAGCTTTAATTTTAATATAATTTTATCAATACTCGTTAAAAATTCAATTCTGTTAACATTCAATTAAGAAGAAACTAACCATTATAAATTTCTTATGAAAAAGATGAACACACAATTGTGTGAGCAATAGCATATGGTGCATGGCAGAATAGGCCAAAAGAACATATGGGAGTAATAGATGCATGATGAGGTTCCTTTTAGGAATAAGAATCCGAATCTTGTCTGGTGGGCCCTCATTGGGCCTACTCACATAAATTTGGGCTTGCTAACCTATCATTAGGGTCTCTCTATAAAACTAGGTTAGGCCCAATATTGGCATTTATGAATAAGATTTTTCTTTCTAGCCCCCTTTTTTTATGTGTTAAATTGTTAATATGTTTTTCCATTCTCCAATTTGAGGCTAAGAGTCCAAATTTCTTTGAACTTTTACAAAGTTCCTAGTATGCTTAATAATATAACTCATATGATATATTGAAGTACTCCATTACTTAATCATAAACAAATACATGCATAATAAAGTATGAATATTATTGTTAAGCCAATAAGAATTATTATTGTTATAAAAGTTATTAAAACAGTGTATTATTTTTCGTTTTTTTAATTATTTCTTTAAACTTTTAAAGACAAGTTTTCTCTCCTTGAAACATGGACTATTCAATGGGATTCATAGACAGACTTATCAGTACCGTCTCAACAATAATATTGTCACATTTTCCTCAAAAGATAAAAAAATAAAAAATAAAAAATAACATTGTCATATTCCCTCAAAAAAAAAATAATAATAATATTATCACAGGTAACTTGATTTTATTTATATACCTACATATTACGTAAAAACTAGCTTTAAATGCAGTTTTCCTCCCAACTTATTACCTTTTCTTTTATTAAAAAAATTGATCATTAAGCTTTCAGAAATTTTCTTTTTCTTTTTTATTTATAGAATTTGGTTCCAATAAATTTGTAGATGAATGGATTCATCCTTGCCTGAATATATTTCAAATAGGTTGCATACAGGTGGGCCATAGCGTTAGAGATTTGAATTTAGTCAATTACTTTCTATTTTCAACCCTAAATATTTTTTTTTTCAAATTCAATTCTAGTATTATTATTAATAAGCTGGTCTTACCATAAAAATGTTAATTTAAATATAACTCACAACCATCAAAGTTCAACAGACATATATCTCCAGTTAAGAGTATGTGAGTTCGATCCTCAGTGTATAATATCGGAGAGAAAATGGTTAAATTAAGTGCGTTGTTTGGACTCTCTCTTATCAAAAGAAGATGAAAAACTGACCGTATTGATGAAAGACGCTACAATTTACACTATTTAAATATATATTTTGTTAATCTTATATTTAAAATTAGAAGTCTAGGTATGTGTGAGAATTATGCCTTTAACAGCTTTCACTTGTCAAACTTAACAAAGAGGGTACGTGATTTACTTGTGAAAGTTTTAGTTTTAATTGATTCAATTATTAGTTTATGATTTTAATTTATTCAACCAATAAAGTTTAGAGCTACAAATTCATTTTTTCCCTTATAAATAAATAAACCTTATGCATTAGCCAATGGGTGTTTTACATTTACATCATATTAATTTTATATATGGTAGGTGCTACAATAATGAGGTGAAAAATAAAACTTTAAGAGATAGAATTTGGAATTCTTACCGTTCAAGGACGTGGCTCAAAAAAAAAAAAAAACGTTCAAGGAAAATTCAAAACAAATAATTGATATGTTGAGGAATTAAACATCTTAATTAGTTTCTGTAATTCAAGCTAGACATGTATTTAAATGTCCTTTAACCAATTTTATCAAAAAAAAAAAAAACTCAATTTTTACTATCCCACTATGATCTTATCTCCCCCATAAAATGAAGGGGTGATAATTAGATAATTTTTGATGAACTACTTAATTTTATACCTGATTGATAAGTGTCTATATAATGTATGAATACTTAAGAAGAGATAAAGTCAATGCGGTCCGACCTCTCGAACTACCTGAATCTCATCTCACGAGCGAACTCACCTCCATGTCTATCCTTCAAAAGAAAATTGTGATATTTTATACTAATGTGTTTTGAATGATCAATTATCTCAAAGTCGGACACACTGATGTGAGCACATGAACAACCATACCATGAAGTCGAAAATTTTCATCGTCTAAGCACAACAAAGCAATCAGAGACGCACTCGATATTAATTCATGCATGAACCAAAATTAAAAGGATGGATAATTGGAGAAGACATTATTATCTAGATATCTATCTATATTTATGTATTTATTGTTTGGAAAGGGACAGAAGAAGAAGAATAATTGGAAGTCATGTATGAAAGAAAGGGACTAACCCATCCACAGTCCACACATATAGTTTTCAATTCTCAACTTAAATTTGAAGAGAGAGAGAGAGATCAGAGACCCCACAGCCACAGCCACAGCCACTGCCACTCTCACTCATCAGTACTACAAAGCCCACCTCCCTCTACTACCACTTTTCCCCCATAGCCATTGCCCCCCTCCCCTTTCCCTCTTATTTTTTGCCTCCTACCAATAACATTTCACAATATTAAATTAATACCTTCGTCTTAAACGCTCAACCATCAAAGATTTATATACCTATCTTAAAAGAGTTCTTACAATTAGAAGAATCAAAAGTTGGTGTGACACTCGAGTCGAGAGGACGGGTACATCAATAAATCCACCGGACCCACGCCATATTTAGATGAAAGACTTAAAAAAGAGTAAAAAATGATTTCTTTTTTTTCTTCTTCTGTTAAAAAATTATATGATCAGTCTTCATTTCTCTAATTTTGTATTATTAACAAATAATTTTGTGATCTATACCAAAATAGTTTTTCGCAAAGGCTATCTATTTCCATGTTAACAAATAAATAATACACTAATAATTAACTACAATTTTTGTTCTTTCTTAATTTGTGTGTGTGTTCTTGTGGCTTTCAGCCATGATCATTTAATAGGCAAAGCGAAGGAATCTTTAAGAATATTTGTAAAAATAACAAGGAAGGAAAGGACAGCCCGTGCAATTTACTAATATAACACATTATTATACTATAAAGTAAAAAAAAATACTAAAATAATATTTCCTATATAATCGTATTATTTATATTATTAGTGGGTAGGGGTTAATCCTAACCTACCCTCACTTCATTCTCTCTTTTTATGTTCTGTATATATCCATTTTATTAGTGTCCAAAATACATTATGATCACACTATTATATATGGATGTATATTATTGTCATTCTTATCCCCAACCAAACAAACTTATATCTATCATATTCTTCTTCTTCTTTCATGTTACAGTATCTTTTATTTAATAAAAGAAAAAAAATCTTCATCTACTTTTATTTATTAATCCAAATACACCTTCAATTTGATCTACATTCTACTATGTACAAGAAAAATAGACTTAAGCAACAAAAAGGTTATCGTTTCGGTCACTGAAATGGGGTCTCCAAAAGACTGATCTAGCGACAAATATCTATTTCGTGGTATATGTCAACGACAAATTACAAAGTTTTCGTTACATTTTTTCTTTAAGTTAATAAACAAAATATATATATAACTTAACCTAAATTTAGTGTTCATTATATTTTCAATACGACTCTCCCTCCTTCATGTTCTAGTGGAACCGTAACTATATATGATCATAGGAATAATTATCAAATTTAAAAACATATATTTTAATTATTGGGATAGTAATTAGTGTTTTATCCACTGATTTATGTTCGGATTCACAACAAAAAAAAATCAATATTTTTTATATATATTGTCCACGTGACAAAGATTAATTCCAATATAATTGTAAATTAAATTTTATACAAAGAATATGTGTGACATTGATATTTGTATTTTTGTGGAATATGGTGAGCAATTGGGTTAAAGCCGTGATAGCAACCTTGCCGGGAGACCCCTACTGGACACGCACATCGCCCTAAAAGCATAGCTTCTATAAATGTGTATCATATAATAAATAGCCTAAATCATCAATCAATTGAAATATTAATCGTCACTATATAAAACAAGATTTTACATCACAACGACTTGATGCATAAGTTAATAAGTTAATTGTCAATATGTAAAGATATTTATTTCTTCTCTTAAAGTCGGTGATTCAAATCTTCGTGCCTTTTCATGATGTACCAAAAAAAGTTAACTTGGGATTATTATGAAATGGATTTTGATTTGCAAATCACTCACCATTTTACGAATTTGTGTAAAGTTATATATATTATAACATTTATGTACGAATTGTTTCTTGGGAATAAAATGACCTAATTGGATTACCTAAATTTAGATTATTTCCATGATTTACAGCTAGTTAATTATTAGCATATAAAGAATTAGGAATTGCTCGATCTGAAGAGAGAGTCATATTCTTGTGATTTGTGAATATACAAATCACAGACACATTTTCATATAATAACGACCTAGGAAATAGAAATTTTAAATAACTACTCCACAATATATACGTAAATCACAATTCTAATTATCTATTTAAATTAGTTCTTCGCTTTTTCTCCCATGCAACTGTACAAAACAACTACAGAAATCCAAGGGGAGAATTAACCCTAGTTGAAGAGTTTGATGATGGACTAAATTATAGGATGTCATCATATTATACACATACAAGGCATATGATATTAATAATTAAAAATCAGCATTTACTAATTACTAATAATCAAGCCAGGTTCTGTTATTTTCATCGATCGTTTTCCTTTTCCCCGAAAGAAGATCATTGGAGTTAAAAGTAAAACATAATATGATGCGCAATAATAGCAACAATTTTTTTAGTATGATGCGATATGATTGAACTTGAAACACAAAACAGAGAGAGAGAGAGAGAGAGAGAGAGAGAGAGAGAGAAATATGGTTTATTTTGCAAGTTGCAGTGCATGGCCTCGGGCAGTACAATCGTGATAAAATCCTGCTATATATATATATATATATATATATATATATATATATATATATATCAATTTCTTTCTCTTTTTTTCCCCTTCTTTTTGATGAATCTATAGTGAAGCTACATGTCTATATTTATATTTTGATTTAAATGTGTTACCCGCGGGTAAAGTTCAAATCTTTTCACTCTCATGTGTATTTTGTTTAATTCTGATTGATGGGTTATATTAATTATTATATGATACATGATATGGAAATTGTAATATATGCATGAGAAAAAAGAAAAAGAAAAAAAAGAATGGAATAAAAATGGGAGACAATGCCACATCCCTGATATTATTATTGGATGCAGGGTCATAGTCATTCTTTTGTTAGTGTACCCACCATTTATTATCCTTGTCTTTTGCCTCCCATTCCCCTTCCCTCTGCTTCTTCAGTTCCATCCACTAAATATACTCTTTGCCATCTTTCATCCACTCAATACACTCTCAATTTTTGTCACTCATTTCTTTTTCTTTCTCTCTCTCTCTCTTTCAAGCTAGGGTTTTGGTTTTGGTTGCAGCAGCTCTTCTTCATCTCTCTCAGAGCTTGCAGGATTCTTCAGTGGCTAAAGCTCATAAATTTAGTTTATCATCTCACACGGGAAATTTTGCAACAAGGGTTTAAAGTTTTTTGCTCTGATCTTGAAAGGTAAAAGGGACTTCCTTTTTTGGTTTTCTTTTTCTTTTTTGCTTTGCGAACTGATGATTCTATACAAAAGGAAAAAACCTAGATCACGCAAGAGGGAGAGGTAAAGTTTGTGTAGCTCTCTTTGTTTCCACATGGTGAATGCTAGCTACAAGGAAGAAAAAATAGAAGAATTCTGTTGGTTTAATTCTGATCTTATAAATTTGGTTTTTTTTCCCTCTCTTTCCCCCCTAGGGGTGAGAAAAGGCTAAAGGGGAGAAATTAATCTAGACCCTTTGACGTATATGGGCTAGGTAGAGCTTAATTTAGGGCGCTCTCTCGTTATTCTTATTATATATATATCACTGACATGTGTTAAAAATATTCATAATATATTATA